ATTGATGACATTTTTTCCTCTGTAATTTTCTTCCATACTGCCTTCCTTATTCTTTGTTGCAAGGCACACGTTTGCTGAAATAAATAGTGGAAATGAAAAGACTCCAAAAGCTCAAATATACTGATTTTCATTGCTGTCATTCATCTGAGTCTTAAAATAGGTTCAATCCATTCCAGAATTCACTGCAGGAGACTAAACTTGCAGGTTCTTTTATCCTGTATCTAAATTAGACTCCCAAGAAATTTCTTAAACACAACAGCTAAATTGCATATTCATATGTTCAGAAACGGTTACCCCATCACACACAAATATTATGTATGCAGTCCATGAAATCCACTGAAAGTGTTGCAGTTCCAGGAAGTGTTTTCATCTGGTGAATAAATAAATGTGCAGTTTCTTTAATCTACGCACTGACACTCACTGAATGTTGAAGCATCTCGAGAAGGCTGCATATATTAAAAATGTCAGACTTTCATTTTGACAAAATGTTGCCTACCATTCTGAAATAACTAAGCAAAATGACAATTTGAAATCCTGTTCTGTTTCGTTCATGAGAGCTACTATGTACTTTTCACCAGCTGACAATGCAACATATGTCTCAGTCTCTCATTAAGAATGTCTTAAGAGGAGGAAAAAAACAAGCTAATTATGTACCAAAGCTTACTTGCTGTCTTTTAGCTGACGCTTACAGAACGCCTACTAGCAGGCATTTTTGGTTGCATTTTAAAACATATGGCCAGTTATGGAGATTTTGTCATTTTTTTTTAAAGTGTGAACTTCTGCATCCTGAATTAAAAAAAATAAAAATTAAAACCCTAAAGTGTCAAGCTGAGAAAGTTGAGAGCTTGCCTGCAATTATTAACACATTTCTTAAGATGGTGTCCAAAAGGTGACAATCGCTAGTGATGGACAGGATATAATGAAAATAGGAGCTCTGTTTCTCAGGCAGTGGCACTTGCTTCCTTTGCGGAAGGGACTCTTTTTGTGAAGCAGAATTGCTCGCTGAGAATGAGACCATGTTTACTTCCACAAATTGAAAAATAATCATCATAACGAAGTCTCAAAGCCAGCCCCATTCCTTAGCATGCTCAATGACCTCTGGGATTACACAACCATGCTTACTTCTGCAAGTGTGAGAATTTTCTTCTTCCTTTCTTCCTTTCCATAAGTGAAGCCAAAATGAAATACAATGCCTTTTGTCACATGAAGGATTTGATCCTTGCCAATTTGAATGATCTGATCAATTACATGTTTAGTGCAAATCACATCTGTCACACGGAAGGACAAAGGACAGCCACTTACAAACCCATCTGAAGTGAAGACAATGGGTTAAGCCAAGAACACCCTGCAGTGATGCTCAGTAATTTATCAACGGTTAAAAAGAGAAAACACACAAACTCACCATCCATCAGCTTATTTGACTTAAGAACTCCTCTAGCCTGTGCACCTCAGTTACTCAGGTATGGTGTAATAAGCAGGCAGGAAAACAGTCCATATCATACAAAAAAAAGGAATCGAAAGTGAGGAATCTTGCTTCTAGGTGTTAACACCTTGGTATGAGACGCCAGCGCAGTAGCTGGGCAGCTGACAAGTGGAACTGAAGCCTAGTACTACATAACCACAAAGTGACAGAGTCACAGTTAGCATGATCAGTAGTGTGATCACTGAAGTTTAAAGTTTCAGGAAAAAAAAAAGAGGGAGGGAAGAAAAGATATCCAAAAGAAGGAAAAAAGGCTGGACAATTCTGGTAGCGCCCAGTTGCACTGGTATTTTCTTTTATTTTTGTTGGAGGGCAAATTTAAGAGTCCCAAGTCTTGTTCACGACTCGTTTAGCACTGTATCTCTAACCCAGCAGATGACATTACTCTCTGTTTACAGGCTTCTGTCAAGTGAATTGCCTATGACCACACAGTTAGCAGAATCGCTTTGTATTCTCAGTCCAAACCAGTTATCAAGCCTTTTTTTTTTTTAATTTTAGAAAGCTTAGAGACTATGCTTTTAATAAATAATTGAAAGAGTAGGAATTTGTAACGAGACAGCTTCCACAGACAAAATTCTGTTCTGAGCAGCAGCAGCACTCCCATTTACTCTACACAGAGCAAAAGCAATCACCTACGCTCCTTGTACTGCTCTCAAATATGTATTTTTAAAGTAATAGCCTGAAGATTTAGCAGACGATGTTATTGCAGTATCTGTAAAAGAACAGTGATAGAAGTGGGAACATGGAGATGTGTTCTGAGAAAGAATAGCTTGTGTTTGTAACTCATAGGAGATTACACATACCCCTTACTTGCTAGCCCTGACAGCATCCACACCCCTAAACTGTTCAAGCCCCACTGCCAAAAATGGAAGAGGTTAGATGGGTTTTGAGTATTAGATTGAAGAGAAATTTTGCAATGGAAGTAATTACCAGATGTTTAAGTAAACAATTAATCACAACTGTTTCATTAAAAATGCACTGTTGTGTTTGTTTAAATATTTTTGTATGGATTCTCTTCTCAAAGCTTCAACACCATATGCAGCAGCCTATCCCATTAACACACCTGTTTATACAGAAGTTGGCTTCCAGGATCCAGAAAGACTTCACTTACATCCTTTACTCCTTAAATAACCATTAGGGTCATTTAGTAGCTAAGTATATTGAGAAGCCAAGTATTAAAAAAAAAAAAAAAAAAGGCAATGAAAAGAGCCAATTAAATCCATGAAGCACTGTGGAGAGAGTTACTCCCTAATTACTAGTATTAGGCAGCTACATATGGAACAAGATTTTTCTCTGCTGATTACAGATTAGACCAAACTCAAAATAAAGGTCAAATGTTGGCTGTTACTCTACACTGGCTGAGATCAGATTCTTTCCAACATACAAGGTGACTTTGACACATTTCAGCACTGCCAATCTTTGTGGCAGGTCCTGCCCAACATTTAAGCACCTCCCCACCCTCCCTTCCACTGGGCATTTTACTGAATGAACATTGTGTGCTAGGATGCAATTTATTTAAAAACATTTATTTTCAGCAAAATTAAACAGACATTTTAGATTACATAGAAATACAGTTTCCAACTGAATCACATAACCTTTTCATTAAAAATGCACAGTTGTGTTGATTTAGGTCTTTTTGTATGGATTGACCAGTCATGTAATATTTAACCATGCCATTTTGCAGTCAACTATCATAAAAATCAGTAACGAAAAAGGTTTCTTAAAATGTGCAAGTATTATCTTAGTGTTACCATTGATAATAAATGACCACTAAATAGATGCTTATTATGTAAAGCTTTTTAAAGTACAATAAAAATACAAATTCTATTTGTTAAAAAAGGCCATTGCTATGGCTACTAAACATCCTCATTATACAAATTCCAAAATACTATATGACAAACAAAATTATAAACACTTTTCTTTATGAAACATATACTATTCTATTTGTTAGTGATTTTATATATTCTTAATATATATATTTATATATAATACTCTATATGAATGTTGAACACAGAGTAGGAGAGAGGAAGACTAACATAATGTAGGACATCAAGGCCCCCATTCAGCAAGGTACCTGTGCATATGGCAGACTCAAAGGAGTAATCCCATTCTTTTCAGTGGACTTCAAAAGTCTATGCAGAAGTACTTTGTTGAGCAAGGTGTAAAGATATAAAGGTGATGACAAATTTGCAAAATGGAGTTTTGGTGTAAACTGAAGCCGCTAAAGACAAAACCGTAAGTATCACCAAAAAACCTCTCATCAAAAAGGAAAGAAAATAAAAAATAAAGACAATTCCGCCCCCCGCCCCGCACATCTGTATGTTTTGAGGGGAAAATGCTAGAGTTTTTAGAAGTTTTTTTTAATTTACCTACTGTGGAGTTTGGGCATCAAAACACTAACGATAATCATTTTCTGAGATAGGCTTAGGATGGTATTTTATTGCTTATGTTAAAGATTAATGCAGAGTATGCATAGACAGGTCAGCATTCAACTCACTAGCAGCTGAAAATTTTGGTATGCAGTTATTTCTGTAACATGAACAACCAGTGGATATGAAGGACTTACTAAATTATATTGAATTCTTGTAGCAAACTTCAAAGTTATAGTAAGACATAATAACATTTAAGCAGACAGTGAAAAAACTACTCAACAGAGCCTGACTGTGAACAGTCAGGTGTTGAAAGTAACTTACAGCATTAAACCCATTAAACAGAGTGCCTGCTTATACACAAAATTACGTACATTCCTAAGTAAATGCAAAACCATAATCTTCTTTCAAGTTATGGTCATCATGTAATGAATTCCAAATTACACACTTTACAGTTCAGCTCTAAAATATCAAAACAAAGGTTACTTTGTCCATTCTGCAATTTAGCAGTTCTTCTATGCTCATGAAACCCTAATTAGCATACTAACAATTTGTTAGTTTCTAAAACATTAATTAAGGACCTAAAAACCTTCTGGATTTTATAAACTAATAACATATATACAGCATAGCAACCACACACAGTAATGGAAATCAATTACATGGCATCCAGATTTACCTTTTAAGCATATATTAATGGTTAGTATTTTCTGCCTTTTCACTGCAATTTGAACTTTTTGTACTAGATATTAATCATTTTACTGCTTGAATATTAAATAATGGCTTAAAAGCATAATTTCAAAATGCTGCCAAGTAAAGTATTATGTAAAAATAATGCCTGCACATCTGCAAACAGGGAGAGGTATGTGTGAGCTTTCTGAAGAACTTCTCCAGGCTAATAGTCCTAAAGCACAGTAAACTCGGGCCAAAATGTGAGAGAAAGAAACACAACAGCGTAATTTAATTCATTTTCATAAACAAATACAACTTTTTACATTTGTACAGGGAAAGACTGGAACTAAGTTGGATTTTTACAGAAGCAAACCTCACAAGAGTTTACATGTTGAAAAAAGCAATTTTTGGCACATGGATAATATGCGTGTTCAGAATTAAAAACAACACTGCGTAGGAATTTCACATTTAGTTTCTCAGCATCAGCACCTGCTGTCTAGTGGGTCAAGACAAAATACTGTGCCTTCAAGAGTTAATCCCATTTTGAACCCCTCCTGCAATGAAACAAGACATAGTTAATAAAAAGGAAAGTGATTTCTGGAAGATTAAGCTCTCTTTCTAAAATCATCTATATTTGAGCTTATCTTTAGGTAGATAAACCACAACGACACTTCAGAGTGAATTCATGACATTTTACATTATTTGGTCAGCCAATTTTTTGTAAGTCTTAGTGGTTAACTTGTAAAAGGAAGTACAACAAAAGAAATAAAAAATGGCTATAAAATGAAGACAATATTATAGAATAAAAATATTGACTATTCATATACATAGATTGATAGAAAAACAAACAAGCTTGACTTGGACGGTGTTGTTCCCGAGTAAAATTCAACATGATTTATAAGCAGGAAAGATTAGGGCTATATGAGCAAAAAGTTTATTATAACTACACTTTAAAGATTCAGGTAAGTCCCAGACATTGTTACTAGTACCAGCTGTCTCCTACATTCAGTAATTCGTTATCTTAGAAGTAATCCAACAAAAAATATAGTACTCAACCACATCTCAGAGGTTTGTTCTGAATCGCTCCCCGTGCAGTTAAATTGGCAGGTGTATGCATTACCGCCTACTGCCATCTGAGCTTCACCAAGAAGGCAAATAAAATCATACTTGCTCTACTGCAAATTAACTGTGCATTTCGAAGGCATGTAACTCAGTGAAATAAAAGACAACCGTCTTCAGAAAGTGCCAAGAATTTCTTTAAAAGTTTGGACCAAAGGTCCTCTTTTTACTCATGTTAGTTTTACTAGTAGAAACACAAAAACGGTTCTAAGCCAGATGCTACCACCTCCTCTATTGTAAAGAAATTCATTCTACAAGTACCCGCGTTTGGCTTATAAAATGTACTTAGCTTGCACCAGTTCTAAAATAACAGCAGCACTTTCGGTGCAGGGAAGGTGCTCTTGTTTTCATTTCTCTTTTTGCTTTAAAAGAAGCTGAGTAATTGTGCCTTGACCTTCAAAGAGAAAAGTCACCTTTGAGTCCAGAAAATTTCAGTCTGTCAGGTGAAAGTACTGTAAAGCTATAAGCAATTGGACACAAGGGCTCTGGATAGAAACACCATGAGAACATAAACTCCAGTGGCAGCTGTCACAACGTTCAGTTCAGTGTTGTTTTAACATACAGTCCACTTAGAGAATGCCAACCGTATGCTATGAAATCAATAATATGTATTTTCATGAAGCTAACATCTTGTAAACAAAATGAATCTTTTTGTAAAGCAATCTGTATTGGGATTAGACATAAACTCAAGCCTTTTCTCATAATGCACAGCAGTACCTCAAGAGCAAACCGTGTGGTTTTAAAAGATAAATCCCAATTCAAACCAATTTAAACCATGGGCTAGAATTTTATGCATGTATGAATATTTAATAACCCCACAAGCTACTGCCATTAGAAGAGTAATGCTGAGAAATAGAATAAACTTCCTGGCAATGGTTACGAAATGATCTGAGACTTTCAAAGTAAAATTTGAATTTTCATAAAGGCATATTATGAAATGATGAGCCAGTAGCAGTACTCTGGTGTAAACATTCTCCAACTGTGCCACCCAGTTTGCTTTACCTGGGTGACATGGTGCTGCCAAAGCCACTGGCATATTTGACTTTCCCCCCTCCCCACTCTGTATTTTTCAGAGCGCTAACAGGAAGAACATTCAATGCAAAAGATATTTCAAGTGAACAGTATCTGGAGTTCAAAGTCAAACACATCCTGTTATAAACACACATTGTTCATTTACCTAAAGGATACTATTAATTGATGTAACTACAGTCAAAGGAGGACTGCTTACACAGACAGAGAATTCAGAGCCTTAGTCCTACAGTCTAGCCTATTAAATTGTAAACCCCTCAGTTACAGTGTCTCTGAAATGCTAATATTTTAAAGTATTTAAAGGCTGCTTCTAGTTTTGACGTTGTAAAAGGGATAGTTTGTGTTTCAACCTGAGTATGCTGCAATAGTAGAAAAGCTACACCAACTGGTTTAACAGGGACAACCAGCTTCATTCCTAGCAATCCTGTTCGGAGCTGTACCAGCCCTATGACCGAACATGCATCCCATGCATATCCTGCGTGCTCTTATCTTTCTTCTATACATTTAAGCACAGTTTGTTGGTGTCTTACGTAGCTGTACTTCCAATGCCCTTTTTCTGGCTAGCTAAGAGCAAATCAGATTGTGCATTTTGGAAACACACACATCTCACTGCTCCTATGTTGATCAAGTGGGGTTTTAAAGTTTTTGTTTTATTCCATACTAACTGATATTTTGTCACTTATCACTTACCTTGCATTTGCTATAACTTTACTTTGAACTATTTCTACTTCCTTGAAGAACAGTGGTCTCCTCAACTTTTCCTTTCACTCCAGACCATTTTCCTCCCGCCATTTAGTCCTCCTCATCTTTTAAGCTGTCCGCAATATTTTGTTTTTAAAACAATCACATCTTCACATATTTGCAATGTGATCAATGTTAATCTGTTAAGAGACTGCTGCACTATATTTACCATAGTTATTAAAAAGTCTTTTACCCTTTATTAGCATAGTGAACTATTTTCTGTTCTGAAAGAAAACAGTGATGCAGTTCCCAGGTGCTATTAGCTGCATACCTGAGAACCCAGTTGCTATTACAGGCAGAACTGATAAGGAAGTAAAACTTGCTACTACAGTGCCAGGAACTGCAGAATTAACACCTGCATGCTTAAAAATGAATCGTGCACATAGCTGTCTATAACGGAAACATGACATTTCAACATCAGATACTACAGTTACTAGTAGGACCAAACTTTCATGGCAACCACAGGGTCAAAAAACACCACAAAGAGGACATCAAGGCTATCTAGATAATCACCTGGGCATTTTTCAGACTCTGAAAGAATGTCAAACCAGCTTTTTTTCTTCATGAACATTTAAGTGGAGGAGGAGAAGTGTGTAAGAATATAAACCGAAGAAAGCTGTATCGTCTTGACCAATATTCCCACTAAAAGCAGCCCTCAAAAGGGAAAAAAAAGTCAGAACATCCTAGTCCAGCACTCTCTCTGGCAAAGTGACTGCAATCAAATTGCTAAAGATGAGGAAAGCACAGACTTCAGATCTTCCATGGCCATCTCTATTCTTAATCCCACAAGTTTTGCAAATTAACTCAAATTCTTAAATGATTTTTGGAATCTCCAAAATTATACTTTGGCAAATACATGATATTAAAAAAAAAAAAATAATCCAGTCAACTGTAGTCAATCAAGCTGCGGGAGACAAGTTTTTAAGAAAAGAGTCTCCTTTATGTCTAGACACAGTTGAACTGTGATTAACGCAGACAGTAGTTTAAGTATCCTATGCTGTAGTTCTCTCAGCAATGCAGAACACTTACTGCTTTATGTCTGCTTTCAGGAATACAGTTCATACATACATCCAAACTGCATACATCTCTCAGCTCTTACTTGAAGCTGCTGTATGATTATTACAGTATCCATCATACAGCATATACCTACTTTGGACTCTCCACTCCAAACCCCAGCATTTGCAGCTGCAATAATAATGACATCAGTTGGAATGACTGAGTAGATTATAAATTATGATTTGTTTTTATCTTTTTCTAATAAAATCAATTAATGTGTTGGGCAGAATATTTTTTTCTTTAAAAATGACACATGTAGTCAGCACTTGGTATGCATTACATACTCTCTCTCTCAAAAATGCATCATTAATTCTAATGCACAGTGTTTAAAAAATTTTGCTTTGTGAAAGTCAAGACATTTCAGTTTCTAATAACATGTGTTCTTAGCATAACACACTTGCCTGTTCATTAAAAAACACATGTGCTATGGCTTCCTGTACTTCAAAGGTTCAGAAAACCGTAACTCCTCATGTAGTCAGAAAATCAAATCTGCTGATTTTCAGGGAATGCAGAAAAAGGCCATCCTCTGTTACTGGACAGGAGGGGGAACAGGAAGGGCTATAAAGTGTGCATCTATACTGTGCCTTGCTTCTGTGCTCATATCCCCAAAATGACAATGTCAAGAAACTTTTTTACTTCCAAGGTGATTTAACTCAAGGGCTGAACATCGTAAGTTACCCAGAAAAATTATGGTATTGTACTAAAGGATACGATAGGTTTCCTAGAGAGAAGAGCAAAGCTTGTTTTCACTCAAAAAAGTAACCTGAAACCAACCTCTCTTCCAAAACTCCCACTTCTTTTGTGGCTATGACAAAAAGACATGAACTATTCTGGTTAAAGGCAGTAAACAGTAAAAGACAAAGAGCTTCCATTTTATCAGAAGATAAATTTACCAAAGTCAACCTTATGGCTCTGATATTAACTCACTTACCACTTCACAGCAACTTCAGTTGATGAGCTTAAGTCAGCCCAAAGCCAATGAACCAATGATAAACTTACACATCTCTGGGAAGTAATTTAGAGGGGTGAGCATAACTTATTTCAAATGGAAAGATGTCAAGCCTACTGACTGCTTCAGGGCACGCAGGGAGAATGGCTTGCAGCTCCTGGAAGCATTATGGTATTAACTACCTTGAGATTTTAATAAATTATAGCAGCTGTTGCTGCTATGATTCATGATCCAGGAAAACTTCCCCTCACTGCAAGATTTCTGGGAAAATAGATTCATTTTATTAATGTCTGGATACAGTCAAACTAGAGAAGATGAAAATATCTTTCAGCATAAGGGTGGGGGAAACAGGAGGTTGGATAGCCATCAGAGAGAGGCCTGAGCTATAAGAGTCACATCTCAGCACGCTTGAGTTTTGAGCTCTCCAGAAAGATCAACAGAGATTTAACTGAGAAATGGAACAGAAAGAGCTTAGGTGTGAAATTTGGATCCTCACTGAAGTTTAAGTACAAAAGTGTTCCCGCAGAGGTCAGGGAACTTTATCTGATCTCATTAAGTTCAGAATATCACACACAAAGAAAAAGCACCACTAAAGAGTTTATTCCCCAACACCTCTTCTGTTGTGCTTTCCTCTCCCACTTTGCTTATGCATCACCTTCCAATGCACACATATGCCGAGTCAGCTTTTCTGCAGACTGGGGCACCTTTGCTGAGGCATCTGACATTGCTCTACACAAGAAACAGGGTAAGAGAGTTGGGGCTGAGCTGCTCCAATCAGGCTGTCACTGCCTGGCACCGAGGCAGCTTGCTTGCCACTCTGAGTGTAGGATAAGCTGCTATCTAAGTGTAGGGTAATACCCTTGCAGAATAAATTTATATTTTGAGCTATTAGATGTGTTCGTAAACAACATGCCTTTGTATATTTAATGGAATACCTATTTACTGAAACTCAGACTGTACTTTCATAATGTGAAGATAACAGATTCCTTCACTTTGCATTCCAGAGGAGGAAAGAAGCCTACACTTTTCTTCCGTGTTTCTTAACATGAGATTGCCCAGAGCACATTACATGTTCTGTGCTTCTACCTTCTGTAGTGTCCATTTCACCTTCCTGCTTACAGGCTCTGTATCTAACAACCATTAACTTCTAGCACAGCTATCTTCTGCTCATTGCAAGTTTTAAAAGAATTATTTCCAAATAAAAATACGTGCACAAATGTGATTGTACTAACACAAAAATCTATGTATCACAGGTTTTGCTTAAGTCATTTCACTAATGACAATTCAATAATGAGAACTGGAGATTTCACTAGTACACATGGAAAAGAAACAGCAATGAAAATGAAGGTTTAGTATTAGCAACTAAGACAGACTAAAGAAAACTGAAATCAGCTTGCCCCTACTTTAAAAATCGTAGGTCCCTAAAAATAAAAATGGCCCTGACTTAAGAGTTGTATACAAAATATACATTTTATAAAATATAAATCTTAAAAGTTTATATATATATGCATACATATACATAAAAATAAAAACACCAGACACAAACACATGCATACTTCAATTGTAAACGCTTTAAATACCATTATTAAAATATGATATACCAACCATCGTTGACGCTAGGCACCCAGGAAAGCACAAGAAGATAAAAGAGATATTAGGAAAAACATTTTTCAATCTGTATTTTGCACCAACCACCTAGTGAAATAACTGCACATAATGAAAAGTTCCATTTTTTTTTTTTTTTCTTCACACCCTGTCAGCTTTACACTTGTTCTCAACTGGATTATAACAAGTTTTGTGCCTACATAAAGACCAATTAATTAATTTTCAGTGGAAATGTTAGGGTATGCTAAGACTGATATGCTAGACTCACTAACTGTGAGACTATAAAGCATACAAAAAGATGGAAAAATCAAAACCTCAATGTGCAGGGGGGAATACCTGACCAATGCAATAGTCTTGGCAGTAGGACAGAGTCACACCCTAAGGTTTGGGGCTTTCGTTATTGGCTGGTTGTCTACCTTTTTAGGTCAAGAAAGTACAAACAATGATAGGAGTTTTTCATTTTATGACTTCAAAAATAGTTGATAAAGATTTCTACTGTTCCATTCACTGATGTTTTATGAGGTAATAGCACTTTGCAGCCTTATATACCATTTATTCAATTTTGTCAAAACATCATGTGTATTAAGAACTCTGAGTATGTGACATTTAGGTATTTTCACAAGAAATAGCCACAGATGCTACAGTATACTTTTTCCTAAAATGGGCTATAGAAAATGGAAATGTCAATATGTATCAATATGAGGTGCTAAAAGATTTACTTTTTGTGCTAAAGGGCTTGGTAATAATATTACAGCATTACAAAACAGAAGCATTTTTACTGGAATTGCAAAGAAGCCAGTTTTGGCTTTTAGCTGCTATCTGAAATTACATTGGGCCAGAGTACAGATGACCAAGGATCTACATTTCTTACTTCACAGTAAGTGGAGTTTGCCAGTGGCACCATCCTAAACTGACATGGAAAATAAAATTTCACAGTGAAGAGGAATTAAAAAAATTTTACTCAGGAAAATTAAAGAGTAGTTAAATCTTATTTCAGCCATTTTGAAAAGTTTCTGCGGCTCTCCAGGCAGGAGAGAAGACCTGAAGGAGCCCAAGAGCTAGCTCTCTTGGACTTTGTGGGCTCCTGCGATACAAGAGGGCTGGAAGCCCTGAGCACACTTCCTG